CAGCTTGGCCACGCCTTGTATTTCTGGTGTCTCCATGCAATGAACGCCGAGGCCGTCTCGCTCCAGCCATTCCTAAGCCGCCGCGCGCCCCTGTACTTTATGGCGGGCAATAGTGCGCTTGGCGTCTACTGGCTCCTGCGCATGGACACGACGTTATCGGCGTGGACGACCCAGCTTGTGCTGCAGGCAATGGCTTGGAGTGGCTTTGTGTGCGCCGCCTCGATAGCACCGGGCGCTGTCGTCCACGAAGCGTCGCTGCGCGACTCGTACACTGCGTGCATGGGTCGCCTTCTCAGCGACAGTGGTGAGGACGGCCTCCACTTGCTCGAGAACGTCCGGCTCTGTCATACGTGCTGCGTTGAAAAGCCCATCGGCTCCAAGCACTGCCGGTTCTGCAAGACGTGCATCCTTCGCTTCGACCACCAGTAGCATCTCCCTCTACCGGCTGGTCTCACACGACGATGCTGCTAGTTGCCCGTTCATCAACAACTGCGTTGGCCAGCGCAACTATACGTTTTTCCTTCTCTACGTGGGCGCGATGGCGGCCGCGTCCGGGCACTTGGCGTATCACTGGGCGATCCACGGCACCTCGACGGCGGGTAGCGTTCTCGGGGCGCTCTACTATGGCGGTGTCGGCGTCGTCGCCGGCAACTTGTTTTGCTTTCATCTCTTCCTTGCGTCCATTGACATCTCGACCAACGAGTACCGCAACCGGCACCGGTACACGCACCTCAAAGACCGTACTAGTACGTTTGTGTCGTTTACGAGCCCGTGCAGCGACGACTGCGTCCCAAAATGTCTCGCGCGGCTGTGCATGAGTCTGCCGCCACTTCCCCATGGGCTTCGCCGCCGCGCTTTGTCGCTCCAAAGCAAACTCGCCACCCACGAGAGTGGCGGGAAGGTTCTCAGCGTCTAGCTTGCATGTCTTTCTCAACACGACGCGTTGGCTCCTTGTGAACGAAGAGGCTTCGCTGTCGATATGCACCGCGTTCCTCCTGCGACGGGTAGCGGCGTCGGTTCAAAGGCAGCTGCGGTGTGGACACGCCTTCTCCGCGACACGAGGCTTGCAGGCTACCTCGGAGGAGACAAATCATCGTGCCATGAGGCCCCGGCTGGGCGCAAGATACCGACAGCAGCCCTTCAAGCTTTGTTCCTGCCAGCGTCTATTTGGCGAACTGCGTTGGAAATCACACCCAATTCGCTACCAAGTACCCAACTTTGGATTCGCCGCAGGATTCCGCGTACTGTCTGTTGGTACTCAGAGGCAGAGTTTATGCAGTAAGGTATCCATCGAGTCATCCATGATTTCTACGACCGCGCCCCTTTGTGCAGACCACTTTTATGCTTGGCGACATCACATACGGTACATTTGAAACCTGGCGCGTTGAACCGAACGGCAACTTGACGCTACGAACTTCGATTATAGAGACGTGGGTCTGATTGGCCAACAGCTTTATGACAGGCGCATTGGATTGGCTCGTTTTCAATTCGATGCCCGCCAAGATATGCTTCTTTCGCCAATTTTCCGCAAGAGTGGTTGCGGGCTGTAGTTGAGGAGGGTCTTGCTTGGTCCGTGTCCCTTGGTGGAACTTATCCACTTCCCTTGATATATAATGAGCTGGCTGGGTCTAAGGCAACTCGCATGAACCCTTTCCAACTTGGATTTCGAGAACGCCACTCAAGGTTTCCCGTGGTGAGGCTACCTGACCGTCTTGAGAGGCTTGGGAGTCGAAGAGGCTCGGCAACACAAGCTGGTAGTGCACACTATTTGAAACTCCTTTCGTGCTGCGCCGGGCGCTGCCGCGCCATTCTAGTGATATGCGCGCGACCCGACCCAGAATCTGGGCGTTTGGCGCCGCGTCAGCTTCGAACTTCGGTTGTACCAGATCGTGACCGTGTCTCTGCGCAGGATGTCGGCCCATTTCTTGTTTCGATCCCGACCCTCCTTTGCCGACAACAATAATGCGGCGCTTCGTGGTCCTTCTCTCCGCCTTGGTAGCTGCGGCGCCGGGCACCCTCGTCCCGTGCGCGTCCAATTGCCTCCTGCTTTCGAATGGCTCGACCGTCGCGCTACATGCGACCAACGACAGCACTATCGACCTCGTGCAGGAAGGCCTGGAGCGCGTCGCTGGCCTCCCAAGCACCATCCTCGCCCTGTACTTGCTCGTCGCCAAGAGGCCGCGCTCATGCCTAGTATCTCTGCAATAGAAACCTGTCTCGGAATGTCATCACTGCGGTCGATGCCAGTGCCACCCAGCTGACGACCCTGTACGAAATGCTTGGTCGACTTTGCCAGAAAAGCTCATCGGTTCGGCGCAGGGATCTCAGCTACAATCGCATTCAAGGCGCAAGCCCGATCGCACTGCCAACGACCCTCACAACCTTGTGCGGCAACCTTCTCGCTGAAGAATGCGCTGACGACATGATCCGCGTAGGGACCTGAGCTACAACAACATGACGAGCCTCGACAACACAACGTTCCATTGGACGCAGCTGCCGTTGCTTCAGAGCTTGTGCGTCATTTCCTCGGCGACGATGCTGAGTCGTGTTCTCATGCAAGTGCGTAGGAATCTGCGCGGCAATTTCCTCTCCCGACTTCATGGCGTGCAGTTCCCGCCGACGCTAACCCGCCTGTATGTGTGGCATCTCTGAGGGATTTTTTCTGAATAGCGTTGTTTGAATTAGGGACCTTACCAACAACCCACTGACCTACATTGGCATGGACCAAGCGACATATGCGGCGCTCTCGTCGCCGCGGGTCGTGATCCTTCTGGACCGAAGGCTTGTCGGTCGGAGCCTTGAGTGCCCGACGGGCGTCGTGGCGCGACTGCAAAACTCGATTTCCGTTTGCATTGAAGATGCCAGCGGTGTCGTGCAGGCAGCAGCGCAAGGTAATAGTGCATCGCGAGGCGTCGTCTCATCCCAGTGTTTCGCAATAGACTACATGATGCGGTATTTGGTCGTCATTTCGACGGGCACATTTCTTGTGGTCATGCTCCTCCTCTACCGCAAGTACCGAACGGCCTACCTCGCGAGCGAAGACGCCGAGTATCTGCGAGCAACGTGCACAAGCTCCATCTTGCACGAAGACGACGGGCCCACGCAGTTTGTGGGTCTGCCGACGCCAGACGAGAAACGGGACATGGTTCCTGGCGCGGTCTAAGAAGATCTAATTTATTACCGAACCTATTATTTTATTCGACACCGCTACGCACACTATTTCCGTCAACACATATGACTATATCCGGCGCATGTCGAAATCGGGGTGATGAGCGAGCGATCCTGGACACACCTTGGCATCATCTTGTGGATGATGCGATCACGCCGATGAAGACGGCGACGGATGGAGGCTTGGCGAAAGCACGCGCCTGGCGCAGCT